CCCCCCCGAGCTCCACACCACCCACGGCTGGGGCTGCGGCTGACCTCCTGAGCCCCACTGCCCAGCACCTCCATCCCCCCACAAAGTTTCTCCGTGCCCCCCTAGGGGGGCCCACACATCTTTTCTGGAAATCTGGGCATTTGTTCGTTTGTGCTTCCCAACTGATCAGTTGGGAAGAGCAAACAGGACAAATGCCCGTTTTTGTCAAAAAAGTCGGGATGGCTGGGACAGGGCTTAAAAAGGGGACTGTCCTGGCCAAAACAGGACGTATGGTCATCCTACTCACTGCCTCATTCAGTATCCTTCAATGAGAAAATATCCTCACGTTTGGGCCCACTGCTACTTCTGCTCTTATTTAAGTTTAAACCTAAGAGCATCCACTCAGGAGTTTGCACAGGTTAACTAAATTGGTTTAAATTCGTCCCTCTGGTTATACTGATGCAACTTGCGCCTATAGAAAAGCCCTTTCTCTCTCTCTCTCCCCTCTGTCTCTCCTCCATTCTTCTCTCTGTGTTTCCTTCCCTGCAATAATTCCCACCCTCTTCCCCCACTGCCATCTGCTAAAATGATCAGTGATGACATAGTTAATGTTGACACTTCGGTGTCAATATTGGGCTTTAGAGCTGACAGGCCAATGAGATTAAATGGGCTATGGGGAATTCACGAGTCATTATCGAGTCATAGTTTGAGGCTCTCTGCTGACCCTCAGGCAGATAACACTGAACTGATTTACCCTTGGGTCACCTTTGGAAGGTTTTTTTCCCAACAATGAGGTCTAGACATTTTACTTTTTTGTTAATGAAAGATGAGGTTCTGGACTATCTGAATGCATCCTGCAAGGCACATAAATTCATCAGAGAGGCCGGATGTTTGACACTTCTGTCCTGAAGTACCCTTGGATTAAGTATACTATTTAACTGTCAGATTTATTCTACTGCTAAAAGTTGTGGGTGTTTGTTTTGATCAGCAAAGCACCGAATGCCAAATGTCACTAACCCTTCCAGTGTCCTCTATCTGTGATTTCAGAACCTTTGGAGGTGAGGAGATCTGAGGCTGGAATCTCTACAGCTCTCTGGACTCAGCTGCCTCCAGGTCAGACTCAGTGACAGTGAAAGAGGGAGCCTGGCACATGCCCCAGTGTCCATAGCGCAGCCTTTCAGAGAGAGGACACGGAGATCGTTCTGAGGGGAAAATGCAAATGGACGAGTGTCTTAGTGGCAATGAAAACGCAGAGGGAGGAGGAGAGAATTCTGTTCAGCAGCAACAGCAGCTGACGGAGCCTCTTAATTGTAATGGACACCTGGACAGAGGAGACGAACCAGGTAACTTAGGGCTTGTCTGCACAGAGAAATTTACCAGTATAATTATACCATTATAGTTATACCAGTATAACTCCCTGTGTGGACACTCCTATTCTAGAATAAATGTATCTCCATGGGGCGCTATCCCGGTATAACCATTGTGGTATAATATTACCGGCATGACCTATACCAGTAAATTCTCCCGTGTAGACAAGCACCCTGAACCCTCACTCTCTAGGAAATGGTTAGCGGGAGAGACAGAGACTAAGGGCTTGGCCACATGGGAAAGTTATCCCCGTATATGCTAAGATGTGAATGTAAACGGATATACCTACCTCGGTACAACCCCCATGTGGACTCTCTTATTCTGGTCTGTGTGTATGCAACTCTCTAGTCCAGTGGTTCTCAACCTATTTGCCATTGTGGGCCGCATCCCATACTACCTGTATGGCCCTGAGGATGTCACATGGGCCGCAGCTCTGTGCTGACTGGGTTGCAGGTTGAGAACCACTGCTCTGGTCAGTGTGTGTTACAGGTCCCCCCTGTGCCAGATCCACAGAGGACTGGAATCTGTTCCTGCCTCCACTATGCTAGTTTGACTCAAGCTGTATTCGCTCATGCTTTCAGCGCCGGAGGGCTGTGGTTCGATTCCTGGTGTGGTTGGCAAAGATGGGGTTATCACCTGTAGAAAAAGCTTATGGTACCATGATACCTGTATAAATGTGTTCACGCGAGGGGGGCTGTACTGGCATCATTAAAGGAATACACATTTTGTGTGTAGTTAATGCCTTAGTTCTCAAGAGAAACAGTGCCCTGCGCCCTATCCTGGATCTCTGATAACAGAACGGATCCCTACATTATTGTTGTTTATATTACCACAGCACCTAGAGGCTGAGATCAGGACCCCTGCCGGAAGGCTGTGCCTTGTTCTGGTAATGGTCATTGCCCAGCATGTGTACGGGGAGATTTTGTATTTCCTGACACCACCTCGCACAGAGTAAAAGTTACCAAGAGATCTGGGTTGAAAGACCCCGGGTAACACGTGGACCTGAAGTACTTTCTGTGGTTTAGACACAGAGACCTGGGAATAAATAACTCAAAAAGCTAGGGCCGTGCTGTGGATTGAGAGTAGGGAATGTGCTTTCCTAGAGAAACTGTGGTAGGGTGACCAGATGTCCCGATTTTATAGGGACAGTCCTGATTTTGGGGTCTTTTTCTTATATAGGCTATTACCCCCCACCCCTGTCCCGCTTTTTCACATTTGCTGTCTGGTCACCCTAAACTGTGGGGATTTGTGGTTAAGGCACTGGATTGAAACTAAAGAGAATTGGGTTCAATTCCTCGCTCTGACTTCCTTTTTAACCTTGGGCAAGTTACTTAATCTTTCTATGCCTCAGTTCCTCAACTGTCAAATGGGGAAAGTAAACCTTCCTTTATGTGTCTTGTCTATTTAGATTGTAAGCCCTTTAGGGCAGGAACTGTCTCTCACTGTGTGTCTGTGCAG